ATGATCAAATGCATATGAACCTATTAAAGCATTCAGACGCATCGAAATAGTCTCGTACATTGTTTTAAATTAGCTTCTGTCCACTAAAAATGAGAAATGCAATTTTCATACTGACTTGTTGCCCTTGGAACATTTTTTACCATAATACAGAGGGATGTGAGATCTTTTCATTGTCAACAGAAAACAGAACCTCTTCCTGAAAGAGATGAAAATGTGGTTTGCAGATGAATCTTTCTGCCCCGCTGCTGTGGAGCTGAAAGACAGAGCCCTACCCACTACCAGTCAAATGTTTTAAATAATTAAGGTTTTTTACATTTTATGAAAGAAGTCTTTTCTGCTCACCGAGGCTGTATTTATTTGACCAAAGATACAGTAAAAAAGTACTACTGTGAAATATTGTTACAATATTGTTACAATTTAAAATAACTGTCTATGTACTTTTTTTTACTTTTATTTAACCAGGCAAGTTAATTAAAAACAAGTTCTTATTTTCAATAACAGCCTGACAGGAGGATTAATATCTCCTGAGAAACATACAAACATATATTACAAAACATATAACACATAAAAAAGGAATAAAATCTCAGTTAAAACATTTACACTATTACATATGCTAGTACATATGCTATTAATATTTATATGATGATTTTTTTATATGGCATTATAAGCAGCAACCATGTACAGTATGTTAACAATATTGTATGTATGCAATGGATAAAAGCATCTGCTAAATGAATAAATGTAAATGTATACAAAAATCTGTATGTTTATATGTTTTTGTAATATTTTAAATACATGTCCGTCTTTCTGTACTGCTTTACATGTACTTACAGTTTTTAGGATGGCTGTACATGTGCATGTCTTAAAATCTATTACAGATATCTTAAAAATACATATTTATATAGGTTAGAGATATATGTTATTTATTTCCATTTCTAATAGATTTCATGTGTTTACTTCATATGACAATGTAGTTCATATATGGAAATTTAATATATGTACATATTACATTTGGACTTCAGAATTTTCACCAGAATTTATTAATGCTTGTTTGAACTTGACGTAGATTAACTGGCCTGGTATTTCTGGCATGCAGAGTTTTGAATTTGGCTGACATTCATACTGAGAAAAAGTTTCTTCTATTCTCAGAATTAGTCTTCAAATAAGCTACTTCAGACAAACTGTTTACCAAAAAAAAAAGGCATCTCTACTCCGTCTGCAAACAGTAACTCAAATATGTTTCCTTAAATGATTGCTGATGTCATAAAATGTATGCTATAGAATAGATTGTATTTAAGCGTTGAGTTGACCAGAGGGGAATGTGTATGATGGGAATTTGTGTGCAACTGTCAATATTTGCATATTTGTAAGTAAGCTGTTTATTGGGTGCATGTCAGATGTGTAAACTTGTCAAAGGCTGTTTTACTGTTCCAGTCATGGATCGTGCTGGACTCAATTCGGTAGGAATGTAACGAATCACTCAACTCACAATGAGATACGATTCACAATACTGGTTTCACGATACGATTTTATCATGATTTTTTGAACAAAATCAAAATTTAAGACAAATTCTAAATGAAAATGCTGTCAAAATGCTGAACCTTTCTTTGTGAAATTGAAATATATTTTATATCAAATAACAAAAATTTCAAAACAAATCCTAAATCAAATAAATATATAAATTAATAGTACAAATCAAAAGAAATGTTTTCATATAAACATAGGCTTTGCCTATGCTCTTTCCAAGCTTGGATTTATTTATTTATTTAAGAAATTTCAGCATGTCCACATTTTACATCAGAAAATAGACCTAGTATAGAAAAAGCATTTAAAGCAAAAACAGAATGGTCCAACTTTAACTTTGTGAAATTATGCTACATAAAAGCACACAGGCTGAATGAGATGCAGATTCACTCTCTGCCAGCAGGTGGCGCTTATGGAACAGCAGAGATACAGCGTTTCTTTGGTTACCACTGTAAACAAAGCAGCGCTGCGCTTATAAGAACTACTTTAATATGCATTATACAGAGACAAGATGAAAGAAAATACCATCGAAACTCTACTGAAGACAGTTAGTTCTCTTCAGAGATGCATTCATATAAACCCACACCCAACGGTATCGCGATTCGTTTAACATCTCAACCGACTTGAATCGTCACATTTTCATCGATTTTCAACCGGCTCGGGGTGCATCATTACATCCCTACAATTCAGACAGGATTTGCTTTTAGTAAAACAGTGGATCATTTGCTTTGGTATTTTGGCATTTTTGGAATTAAAATCACTTTTTTTTTCACAGACCTTTCGACCAATCAGCAGCGGCTATAGCCCCACTCCCAAGAGTCCATCCCCCAAGAGTCCCATCACAGCCACTGTGCCCTACAATAACGGCAACTCCAGACCTACGTACAACAATCCAGCAGGCCTGTATTCACACAATAACGGAAATGGTGCCCTACCGAAGCAGATGGCAGGCCTCAGCCTGGGCTCCCCTCACAGGTGAGCCATTTCACAGCTTTTCACACATGCACAGGAATAAAGCATTTTTCTTTGGAATAACAATTAGACAAAGCACGCTAGGTAAATTAGGTCAGTTCTGTACACCGCTAACTTCTAGCCAGCACAAACCACACTGCTCTTGCAACGGCCAGAAACTGATATTTATGATCCTCACAAGGCTGTGATTTATCAAGGAAGCAATTTTGAGCATCTTTCCCATGTTGGAAATCTACAGCACAGGTCCTGTCTTCACTCAGAGCACTACACAACAATAAACACTTCAGACTGAAAGATATTACAGCTCTTCATGCCTATTGTTATGAAAAAAATGAGTTCATGTTAGAACTGGATTGTGAGTGAAGAGTCTTCAGGGAACATTTGCTGCACTGATATTTGCAAAACACCCTTGAGTTTTCTGAAGCACTATGTTAGTTAAGGGTGATAGAGAAGCATTTGGTTGCTTGCAAATCCCACTGTTTACTCTGAAGATGACAAATCCACTGTTTATGAATTCCTTCTGTACTTAAGGTAGAAGTTGTCATAACACTGATCACTCTCATGGAAACTTCCAACAGGAAAATCCTGCTGTGTACTTGGAAAAAAACCTCAGTACCTTCAAAGGTCTTAATGCATACTCATTCTTTATTATTAGGGTAATTCTTGTTAAAGTTAATTGTTGCGTTGATTGTAACTTTTAGCTATTGTTATTTATTGATTTCTGCAATTGTATCAGTTCATTAAGACAAACTAAAATTCATCAGATCTGTTGATAATAGATTAATTGATAATTGATTGTGCTGTTATTTTCTAATTATGAAGCATGTCATTTCTGGGAGTAACATCAGGGAAATTACTTTTAAAGGAATATTTCAAAAGTCCTAACAGGTGGAAAGTGATACCAGAAATATTTCCTCGAACCCTGAAAGTAGTAAAACTATTTGTAAGTCACTTCTATTTTCACATAATTGTGATATTGTGATAAAAAAGTAATAAATATGATTTACAACTTTAACAATTGCAAGTTTAGTACAGTATGCAGCTTTACTGTGTTTACACATTTGACTGGTAGAACTAATGTGTTGAGAATTTTTAAACCAATTACATTGGCTTCCATTCCTTCAGCTTTTATAAATAGCTTGATGCACTGAGAAAGTGTTTGAAAACATATGGCAATAGCAGATGTTTCTGGAAGAGAAAGAGATCTGGATGTGTTTTCCTCTCAGTTTCAGCCCTGAACTGCCAGTGAATTCATCAGGCAACCCCAACGGTTTCGACACGCAGTCAGACGTCTACAGGATGCTTCAGGACTATGAGGAACCTGTGTCAGCTCCCAAACAATCTGGCTCCTTCAAATACCTGCAGGGAATCCTGGAAGCTGAGGATGGGGGTCAGTTTTACTTTGATTTATTTCTCTCTCAAAATGTATGTCGAAATTGTTATTTACTGGTATTGTCCTATGTAGTCTTTTTTCTGAGTATGCGATTTTAAAAATGGATATATCATATGTTTTTCTGTAGTTCTATCAGTTGTACCTTTAAGTCTAAATAACTTGCATTTTTCTACTCATGTGAAATAAATTAATATTTGCACTTCCAAATATTCAAACATTAATAAACATTCTGCTAGAAAGAATGTCATGCAGGTTTAGAATAACATGAGGGTAAATAGTGAGAGAATTATTTATTCATTATTTACAGTGGGGCAAATAAGTATTTGATACACTGCCGATTTTTCAAGTTTTCCCACTTACAAAGAATGGAGAGATCTGTAATTTTCATCGTAGGTACACCTCAACTGTGAGAGACAGAATAAAAAAAAAAAATCCAGAAAATAACATTGTATGATTTTTTTATAATTAATTTCCATTTTATTGCATGAAATAAGTATTTGATACAATAGAAAAATATAACTTAATATTTGGTACAGAAACCTTTGTTTACAATTACAGAGGTCAGACGCTTCCTGTAGTTCTTGACCAGGTTTGCACACACTGCAGCAGGGATTTTGGCCCACTCCTCCATACAGGTGTTCTCCAGATCTTTCAGGTTTTGGGGCTGTCGCTGGGCAACATGGAGTTTCAGCTCCCTCCATAGATTTTCTATTGGGTTCAGGTCTGGAGACTGGCTAGGCCACTCCAGGACCTTGAAATGCTTCTTATGTGACTCCACTGTGATGTGTCCCTGTCTCTCTCTCTCTCACACGCACGCACACGCACACACACGCAAACACACGATGCGCAAAACTCCGCATTTGAACAGTCAATAGCAAATACTTAAACTAATAACAAAACAGTAGCTGATTCAGAAGCGCCAGATTGTCATAGAAAAAAAAGAATTACCTCCTCTCCTAACGGTCGTCCATAAAATGCATTGCTGTTCTGTTGTAAGTCATCTTAAAGATTCCTAAATGCATCTACTTCCGGAAGGCCAAATAAAGTGCTTTTGCTTTCGCCTAGAAACACACAGCGTCTCCCTGACATGCTGCTTCAACACTAACTGCGGTTACTGAAACCACGCCGTCTTTCTTTGCGTGCACATTTGGGCTGCATTATGCTAATATTTCCACATAGTGAGGTAGATATGGGGGGGCGTGTTAGAACGAGCCGTTTTAGGGGGGGCGTGGCAGAGTCTTAACTTTGATAAAGAATATCTCTTTGGTTTTGAGACTTTAGTCTTTGCAACTTCAGGGATCTTATCTATGCACAATCAGCTTGTAACACTCCAAAGAGAAAGGAAAACTTGAAATCGCATCATATGACCCCTTTAATTCCTTTGAAGGATTTGGGTTTCTGATATTAGAATTACAAGGATTTTGGATCCAAGTTTTTGCAGCTTATTTGGATTTTAATTTTTTTGGACTGATCATAGTAAACTGAAACATTTTAATTCAAAAGTCCAAACATCACTCTAAAGTATGGGCCGTTCATGAGTGAAATCTCAGATTGACTGAATGATGAGTTGCCTGCATGCTTGCAATGTTAAGCACTGTATATCTGTATATCTTAATTGTAAATAGTCCTTGCAATTTGTCCATCTATATCGAAAGTGAAAATGTTATCCAATGTGGCACACAGTTTTACTAGCTGTTTGCACCAGCGCAATACGGTTTTTGAGGTTTAAATCTGCTGTCAGGATTTTACTAAAGACATTAGCGAAAAAGCATGGACTGAAGTTTTTTGCAGCTGACCTTGTAAATATGCATTTGTCAGAGTTTCCCTTTGAGACACAACATTTATGGGAGGAGAGGATTTAAATGCATGCAATCTGATTTACAGTAGTCAGTTTTTGCACCATTATTTAACACCCCAAAAAAGCTTTGTCTTTACCCATTTTGTGCCCGTGTTGTTAGTAGATTACCTGCACCTGATTGTCATCGGCTCTGCTTGTTTGTGCTGCTCTTGGTAAATTGCATTGGTTATTATGGAAATGACCTGGCTGCATCTGTGTTCATTTGAGCATTGTCAGTAAATCTTCCGCAAAACTTTCTGTTTTAATGTCATTGTGGTCTCATGCTAATTTATTATTTTTAGTAAATCTGGCTCTTAATGTTTAATATACATTTATGTGGAGTAGGGCTGCAACAACTAATCGATAAAATCGATTATTATCGATTATGAAAATCATCGACAACGATTCTCATTATCGATTAATCGGGTCTGCCCACAGTGCACGTCCAACGGAGTTTACATACTTGTCCAACTTCAGCTGGTCGCGTCAAATTAAAGCACTGAATTACTTCTTTCTATGGACAAAATGCATCTAAAATAGTGGAGGAAACAGAATGAGATGCTGCAGGAGAGTTACGTGATCCAAGCTACCCAAAACACGAGAACTCTTTATTTTAAGCTTTAAGCTAATGCATTAGCGTAATGGCTTGCCCTGTCAGGCGCTTTAACAGATGCGTGTGCATCCTCAGCGCAAAAAAAACTTTCAGTTAACGGTCATATCTTTATGTATAAATGTCACAAATTCACGCGAGCATTTCCATTTTTGCATAAAGGTTCGTCCTGAGTGGAGCAGGATTTTGGAACATTGAGATTGAACAGTGGTCAACGCTGCAGAAACAGAAATATATATACATTGGCTTTTTTGGGGGGCCAGATCACTCTGTAGTCTCTTGCAGGCTAAAAAGCCCACAAAATGATGTTCTTTATGTCATATAAGCCCAGAAATGTGTTTTATCTAAGCCTGATCCCGTAGAGAGGCTCCTAGACTGTGCTATACTTACACTTTGCACTCTCTCGCACACTGAATTAAAGCCCCGTGGAGCCACAGGGCTCAGAGATCAAGTGTTTAAGTGAGTAATTAGTGGTATTCGTTGACGGGTTTGGAGTTGTAACCTGTCCAAGCAGTCGTTGGGAATAATACAGAGTTAATGATCTCACTTTGGCACAGCAACAGTCAGATGACGGAGGCGGAAACCATTGTAACATTTATCCGTCAGATTTTTCTCGGATGTTTCCTGATCCAGCAGCAGGGTGGTTTTCTCCACTGAGCTCATGCTACACCGGCACTGGTTTTAGACTCGGCTTGAAACGGAGAAGATAGGAGGAGGCCTTGGCAGCTGTGCTCCATACTTGGCCCAAGCCGTGCCCTGAAGCTAACACACACCCGCGATTTTCAGCTACGCCTGCATGGAGATTAGCATCTGACCTGGGACTGAAGTGTGAAGGACATTCATTTCCAGCCATCTCTTGTTCCAGGGACAGCTGCTGAGTGCACATTTTGAGTTATTTCTCACTTTTTAAAGCAATAGTTCACCCAGAAAAGAGAATTGTTCAAAATTTGTTATCTGAAGAGTGAATTTGTATGTGAATTAATGGAGCAGCATAATTGGAGACAGTGTTGGGGAAAGTTACTTTTAAAAGTATTGCCTTACAATATTGCATTACTTAGTTTCTTTTTATGGGAAGTAATTATTATGTTACATTTGCATGACTTTTTCTCGTCTGGCCTGGGCTTGCTTGTTTGTTTTTAATATAAAAAAGTTCTATTTTTGGCAAATGTAAAAAACCCTTTCACACCAAAAGTGAAATGAATGAGCCACAGGCTGAAGGAATTAAATCCATAAAGGATTTTTGTGTTAACATTTAATTACTGCAGGTTTGTTTCATATTCTGAGTTTGCGTCTCACTGTTTTTATTCATTCTGAAGAATACTGAATCGGTTTTTGTGCGAGTGAGATGAGTAAATGCATGTTCACATTTAGTCTAGAACTACAGTAACATGTTCACACAGCTCACACAACGCTCTGCACTTCTGATTTCTCTCAACATGGGACATGAGAGCTGTCAGTCAATGCATGGGGAAACAAAGTAATGACAGTACATATCTGAAAAAGTAACTTAGATATGTTCTTGTAAGTTAAAAAGTAATGCATTACTTTACTAGTTACTTGGAAAAAGTAATCTGATTACGTAACTCATGTTACTTGTAATGCTTTACCCCAGCACTGTAATTTAATACACACAGTGGAGAGACAAAGTTAGTGGAGACATTTTAGGAGAAAGGAAGAGCAACAATTAACTTAGTCCAGTAATGCATCTAATTTTGCAATTTTCTTTGAATGTGTCAAACTAACAAATCATTATCTGCTATAGGTAAATAATTACAGAGAGCAGTAAAAAGCGTTTATGATTATGATAATGAATTAAAATAATATGAACAAATATCATATCAAACAGCATAACGGACTATTTTTGGACAGATAAAATAACTGAAAGTGAATCGCATCGGAATACTTTTACTGTTCATTTGACATGAATTATACTGTATTTCTACATGGTCTAAATTTCTGCATTAAAATTTCCCACCGGCTTTTTAACAAATCACACAACCTCCACTGCTCTGTCATTGAAGAAACATAACAGTCAACTTGTGACCTGATAGCCAATTGCATTACAGCCTTGACTTCACTGAATTGCTCTCAGAGTTATGCGACAGACAACCACTGTTTGCGGGCACCAAAGAAATGAGAAGTGTCATACAGTGAAACCAACCTGTTGCAAAATTGTCCATTACTCTTCATACAGTATAAAACAGCTTTATTTCTTTTTTCATTGTAAACTCAAAAACAGATAGTTTAATGGCAAACATGTTGAAGATTAGTCAGCAGACTAAGAGTTGATTCATTAAGCTGGTTCCACCACCGACATCCATTCAAAACAACTGTCAAAATACCCATGACTACTTAGTCAAATTACAGCCCATAAGATCCTCCCATAGGTGTTCATTGACATGCCTGCCATAGCATGTCATTTGTATTTGCTTTGTTGCTTATATCATCAGTGCTTCATCAGCTGAGCGTTTAGTTATATTAAATCATGACTGTTTTACAGAGTTAATTATGAAAATGAAATATTAAACACAGTTCTGTCGTGACAACTCTCGGAGGGATTGGCATGGTAATATACATGACAATGTTAATGTATTTGGTCTTGGCGGAAAAGATCTGCTATGCTGCTGCTGCAAGTCCCGAGACTTGCTACTGCCAATACATCCACAACATGCTGCTGTGAGCATGTAAGAAATACTGCTGCTGCAAATATAACCCCCATATAGCATACATGAATCACCTCATAGCATCTATACAGGTGGAGCTGGGGAAGGTGGAGGGTTCTGAAACAAGCTGCAACTGCTACCGCAAGCACTTGTCATATATTTGAATGTTGAGCAGCGAGCTCATTGGCTACCGATACAGGAGAGAACCAATCAGCTGTGCCATGTGATAATGACGTCATTAGGTCAGATTGAGTTAGACCTATCGGACTGCGCCATCTAGAGTTTCATGCCAGTACTCTGTATTTCATATTTCCTTAAAGTTTATGCTGCCCCATTATGAGGAAACGAGTTTCAATTATCATTTGAATTTTGTTTAAAATTTTCAAAAAATGCAACTTCTTCAAAGGGGTCCTATCATGCTTTTTCACTTTTTCAACCTTCCTGTCTTAGTTGAATAGTTGATTACTTTCTGTATATGAGCATATCAAATTCTGTGCACTTGACTTGAGCTTATTTTCCTTGCAGGGGTCTCACCCGTGGACAGACATGGGGTCAGAGGCTTGCGTTCCCCTGTCAAATCCCCAGTGCCAAAGCTGGGCAGCCCCATTACGGCTCCTCTGGCACCCATCCCCGGCTTACAGAAGCTGCCGCAGTGCACACGCTGCGCAAACGGCATTGTGTAAGTGGGACGTTGTGCTTCTTATCGTTTTATTTAAATACATAGAGAAAAGCCCCCAAATGAACATTTAGTAAGACATTAGAGAGTATTGCATAGACATAGCAAATGACTTTGGAAGCCCATGTGTTTGTTTCCATATCTTTTATACACGAGCCTACAAGCTTTAACTTGCTGTCAATGAAAGACTTTAACAATAGTGGCACGTTCATTGAGTATGTAATTGTTAATGAATCCGGAGCTGCTGCAGCATGTGTTCCTCCCGCTGCACAGGTGATCCAGATATTACTGTAAGTCACTCTACCGCTGTTGCCACTTTCCCACAGTTCCACTAAAACTGAGTAAACAGTGAGGTCATATGATAAGGAAGTTCCACAGAAGAGTGAAACAATGTGTCCATTGTAAATGCTGTTGACAGATATTATAGCTTTCAAATATGCGACTGTTCATTGAGATTAATAAAAGGAAGTGGATTCCCAGCTAATAAAAAAAAATGTATGTTCTGAAAACAAGTTCTAAAATGTTCTCTGAACATGCAAAACGTCCAGTTTTGGAAATGTTTTAGAAACGTTTAAGTGAACTTTAAGAGAACATTACATTTCATTTTTTGCAACATTATGGGAATATTTGGTATTGGGTACATTATGGGTAACATTTCAAAAAAACACATTTCAGAAATGTTCCATGAACAATGTATAAATAATGGTTTTGTGCTGACGTTTATAGAACATCATTAAAGACCAGATAACTTTGAACGAACGTTCCATTAACGTTACTGCACAAACATTTGTTCATAATGTGCAGGAGAACCTTGTACTTTCCCTGATAGCTGGGTTAGTGATATGGGTTCAATCAGCCGTCAGGTTCACATAATTTTATGAGCTATTTTTACCATAATTTTTTTTCGTATTCTTTTGCATTTTCCATTAATTTCCTATGTTGGTCATTTTTTACCAAGTTCATCCCATTCTGAAAAAAAAAATCCATTTATTTCCCATATCCGTCATTTTTGACCATGACAGTGTGACTTTTTATTTTTTGACCCTTTAACATATCCGAATTATGTCCATGATTTTTTTTTGTATATTCACATAGCTAATGCAACAAAAGTTACCAAGTATAATTTCATTCCGATGAAGCTACAAAAAATTTAAATGTCAAAATGTAAAATGTTTCGGTCAAAAGTGACTGTAGTCGACCAGGGGATTTTAAAGGGATAGTTCACCCAAAAATAAAAATTCTATCATTAATTACTCACCCTCATGTCGTTTCAAACCCATAGACCTTCGTTCATCCTCGGAACACAAATGAAGATATTTTTGATGGAATCTGAGAGCTCTCTGGCACTGTATAGACAGCAACGCAACTGAAATGTTCCCAAGTCTAGAGAAGTAGCAAGGAGATCTGTAAAATAATCCATGTGACATCAGGGGTTTACATCCAGCTGATATTCTCCAAAATGGCACTACAGGGTGACGGGGACGAGATGGATTGTTGAATAAAGTCGTTTGGGTGAACTAACCCTTTAAGGCTAAAATATCCAATTGTGAGTCAATAGCCATGTCTTAAAACTGTAGAAAGTTCTGTGGTTGCTTAGCTAGATAAACAAATAATATTTGAGACCTTCTTAGGAATTGCTCTTTTGATAATTTCTTTCTTCTTCCTCAATAAAATGTTCATGCTTCTAAAGCACCAGGAAGACTGCTAGTGAACAGCATGATCATGCTGCACCTTCTGCGAGACTAGCATCAAACATGGAAATGTATGGTCATTTCAGCGGGGTCACTAGTTTTGAAACGTCGGAAAGATCCGCTGGGAGATCCAGAAGCATGCATACAGAAGCAGATCTCTCTTGTGCTGAGTCAGAGAGTGCTGGCAGCACACTTCTCAAGACCAAGTTTGGACAAAACTGTGGAAGGCAGATGTGGAGAGGGCTGGGATGGAGTACGGTTCAGAATAAGAGCAGAAAAATAGAAGCAGTTATCTGAAGATCTTCCTTTGCAACATGGCTAAAAATAAACCAAAAGCCTTGTGTGTTGTAAAAACCATCAGCAATCGTTATACAACCATCAGAAGAACTCCTGAAGGCCAGCTCCAAGTTACTCCATATCTGTGCCAAGACTACAACAACTAGTCAGGAATATAGTGAATTATGAGCATATACCAGAACATTTCATAGGTCTCAAACATGCTTAATAATGTGTTCTGGCATGTAATATAATAGTAACTGCAATAGTAGAATTTATCATACAAGACAAGAAGCAAACAGGATTTGACGAGAAAGTATTTAAGAGTTAAAGAGTATTTCCTTGCTTTAATGTAGTGTCATGGAAAAGGAAACGCCATTGAATTTTTTTCATTATTCATTTTAACAACTGGTACCTGACATAGTACTGGAAATCCAGCACAGTGATCTCTATATTTAATCATTTTTACTAAATCTTTTTCACAACGAATGACTGGAAATCTCTGAAATTTGTTGGTGAAAAGAGAGGGAACTTCGTCTAAAGCGGCCAAAGGCACAGTCATTGAGTTTTTCTCTTTCTTTACTGTATTTGTGTGTGACAAAATGGCAAACATATAGCAGAGCAAACCGCGGTATAATTAGTGGTTTCACAGAATCCAACATCCAGCGGCTTCTCAAAACAGCTCATAAGATGTCATCGTCTTACTAAACAAAGTTCCCAAAGTGTGCTAAAGGAGGTCATTAGAGGCAATAGGAGGGAAACCCCTGCTCTCCCAAGCTATAATAAAAACAATAAATGTTCTTTCATGTATAGTCAGAATAACCAGCCAGACACCCGGGTTGCCAAGTGCACGGTTTCCCTGCAGAACTTTTAAACTCGGTTTTTGTTTCACAGATCGCATCGAAATGTTTGCATGAACATATACACGCTTCCCAGTGTATGGTTTTGCAAACAGAGGGACTGTGTGTGTGCTTTGAGAAAGTGTAGGGTTTTGTTCTGTTTGGGCTTCAAATAGTAAATGAAGGGCCACATAGTGAAGTCTCAGCCGAACCTTTGGCTGAATGTCTGACGCACAAGACACAAAATGGCAAACACTTAAAGGTCCCCTGAAATGCTTAGAAACACGCAGCGTTACTCTGTGTGTTGACGTCATTTGAACTGAAACAGGAAGACAGGGCGGGACATATAAAGCAGCCCCGCCCCTTTTTAAAATAGCCAATAGCGTTCGTTTATATCACAGCTTGGGCTAGAGCCGTTCAGAGCCGTTGAGATCCGTAAAGCCGCATTTGACATGGTATGCCAACCACAATCTCATCCATATTGCTATAAAATATAGCATTCTGTGTAGAATTCAAACTGCTCCGATACATTTTGTAGTCTGCGCCGACTCGCGCGTGTGATCCGCTCCGTGCTATCGTGTCTCTGGACCGGAGCAGAGTGTGTGTGCTAAAAGTGCTACCGTCAGACCCGGAGATCGGCTGAATGGATTCGAAAATGCTAAAACTCAACTGTTTAACTCTAGGGGAGTTGGAAAATGAGCCTATTTTCAAAAATAGTGGAGTGTTCCTTTAAGGGACACGTGATCCAAGTTAATCGTTGCGCTTTCTCCAGTAGTAAGTAATATAGACCCTCTCATCTCCCTATAGTACAACAATCTCTGTCTCTGGGACCTGGACACCAGTGGCAGGATCTTTCAGAATGAACTTGACAGGGAGCTCTGGGTGCTTAACTAACTTAACTAAAACTAAAAGTTTCGCAGAATGCAAATACTACCACCCTAAGCCAGATGCAAGGCTGGCGCTCTTCAACATGACCTACAGGGGACCCTGAAACACAATTACAAGTTGTACAAATTAGACACAATTCAGAAACATGCTTTGTTACAGCAGGTACGGCTGCATTATTTAAAATTTTATATATATGCACCTAAAATAATTCCTTTATACATATTCCTTATACGTATACACCTAAAATAATATATGGCCGCCGCCTTGGTTTTCTCTCCCCCGTCTCCTCAGGGTTGCTGAGCCCGGTCTCGTGAAAATTGGTATAAATAGTACATCAAATAAAAACGAAAACTCATGGTATTGATACTCAAAAATGGACTTTGGCGTGTATATGATACGCATGTGTTTGGCGTGCATATAATACGCCGTTTTCATGTGCATATATGAAATTTGTTGGCGTGCATATGATACGCAGTTTTCACGTACATATGATACGCATCTACCCCACAACCCTAAACCTATCGCGTAGCATATACACGCCAAAGTCCATTTTTGCGTATCAATACCACGAGTTTACTATTTATTTTATACGCACTTTCATGGGATTGGGTTGGGTTGCCAGGTCTGCGTAGCAAAATTAGCCCAATGGCCAATCAAAAATAGCCGAGACCTTATTCCAAATACAGAAACTCAAAATATGCAATTGCCATAAGGCTCCCTACCAGAGGCCCTCCTTCACAATACTGTTAAAGGGTTAGTTCACCCAAAAAATGAAAATTCAGTCATTAATTACTCACCCTCATGTTGTTCCAAACCTGTAAGACCTTTGTTCATCTTCAGAACACAAATTTAAATATTTTTGATAAAACAAAAAAACGTCATGATACGCGCTCCATAATGGCGGCATGTAGTTGCATACAGGTGAAGAGGAGAAGAATTGTTGAATGAAGTCGTTATTGTTGTTTTCTTTGTGCACAAATATATTCTCGTAGCTTCGTAAAATTACAGTTGAACCCCTGATGTTGCATGGACTATTTTACCGATGCCCTTGCTACGTTTCTGGACCTTGATCATGGTAGTTACCTTGCCGTCTATGGGAGGGTCAGAGAGCTCTCAGAATTCATCAAAAATATCTTAATTTGTGTTCCAAAGATGAACGAAGGTCTTACGGGTTTGGAACGACACGAGGGTGAGTAATTAATGACAGAATTTTCATTTTGGGGTGAACTAACCCTTTAAGTTTTATCATTGTAAGAATATAATAGTTGAATATGGAATACTAGGATATAGTCATGCTATATGTTAAACCATTAACCCAAAGCAACAGTTTAAAATTAGCCCAACCCTGTCTCCTTCTCGCCTCCCTGAGACACTACTGCAGGCGTCTCGTCAGGGCGAGGATGGAGCGCCGCCGTGTGGTCGACGGGTGTCAATGTTGTACGAGAAATGACCCCGTTTACACGCTCGCCTCTCAACGAGGTCACTGTCCCATAATCAACTCGATGAAATGCTCTATATATATATATATGGCTGT